ATCAACAGAGACTGCTATCATTAAAATTATTATTATTTTTTTTTTGTATGGACTTCATAGTGAAGCACTACTGCAGACATCCCTAGTTAGTACACACTGTAGGCATCATCAGACCATTACCTTGAGGCAGTGCAGCGCGTCCGTTAAAACATACATCTTGAACTTGGCCAACTCCCCGATGAACCTCACTGTCTTATTCTTGGTCTCAATGTTGATTTGGTCCTTCTTTCTGATCTGTAAGAAACACACACACACACACACACTCACTTTCATGTGTTATTTGTGTGAAACTGGTTTCTGGTGACTTGCAGACCGAGACAGCATTTTAGGGCATCCTGATTCTAAAATAGCTTGTTTTGGTACTAAAATACCTCATTTGATAGCCTTTAGCTAATGAACCTTGAGGCAGTGCAGCGCGTCCGTTTTGGAAAACATCTTGAACTTGGCCAACTCCCCGATGAACCTCACTGTCTTATTCTTGGTCTCAATGTTGATTTGGTCCTTCTTTCTGATCTGTAAGACATACACAAACACACACACACACACTCGTTCATGTGTTACTTTTGTGTAAATGCTTCCAAATTCTAGTGACCTGCTTATCCAGTCAGCTTTTTAGGGCATCCTGATTCTAAAATAGCTCGTTTTGGCACTAAAATACCTCGTTTGATACCGTCTAGCTAATGAGAAACACACTCACGTGAAATCTGAAATCTCCTTTGAGCATTGAGCTGAGGTCTTCTGCCACGTCAGACATACACGGGTGCAGAGTGGCCACCAGACGAGCGTAGAACGGCAACAGATCCAGCCTGACACACAGAAATACAAAATCATTAATGCACAGCCACACTTCAAATCTGAATGAACACTTGATACGATCACATGACGGCAGCGCCATCTAGTGTTCACAGATGCTATGAATGCACACGCACCTCTGTCTGGGCACCGTGAAAAGAGCTCGAACCAACTTCCTGCGGTTGGACTTGGTGTTCATGTTCATGCAGAAATCCATAGCAGCCTGAAAACACACAGGAACACGTTTGAACACAAAACAACCCAGCAGCCCTGTACGATCAAGTGAACGAAAAGAATGACCAATCACAGACATATGTATCCTACTACTTGTTTCTCTTCTGTTTCAGTTTTTATAACCATTTCTTACTATGTGTCAGTAAGTTGTTGTTTTTTAGCATGTAAGTTTGGCAGTGTTATTTTTTAGGATTACTGATAAACTACTGTCGTTTGATTTGTATTACTTGTATTTGTTATTTATTTTAATTGTAGTTACATTATGTCTGAATTTATTTTATTAAGTCTTTTATTAAGTTTTTAGTTTTATCTGATTTGAGTTATTTTAATACTTAAACTAAATGGAAATGAAATAATATATATATTGAATTTATAAATGTGTATGTACATATACAGTATATATGTATGTGTGTGGTTGTACATACATATATGTAGTTGTTTTTTTGGTGTTTGGCTTAGTGTTATGTTAGAATCATTATTATACTCTTATACCATTTGTTCTTCAATATTTTGAATTGTTTTTAGTTTTATATTTGTTTTTCATTTAAATGTTAAGTTTTGAAATTTTGTTGTATGCATTTGTCATTTTTATTTAATCTCTTTATTTTTAAATTTACAAAATATCTTCATGGAACATGATCTTTACTTAATATCCTAATGATTTTTGGCATAAAAGAAAAATCGTTAATTTTGACCCATACAATGTATTTTTGGCTATTGCTACAAATATACCCCAGCGACTTAAGACTGCTTTTGTGCTCCAGGGTCACAAATGCTAGCAGGAAATGCTGGTATCGTCACATTTTAAAAATTTCAGTACCGACGTCGTTTCTTTTGACAACGCTAGAGTTAATTTCGTTAACGAAAACTATGACGAAAAATGTTCGTCAACGAGGTTTTTTCCCCTGACGAAAACGAGACGATAATAAAGCCATTAAACGATAACTGAGACTAAATGAACATGCAATATCATTGATGAAAAAAGACGAGACTAAAATGTAGTTAAATGAACAAAAACTTTACCAAAACCTTTTTATTTTTGCACTTTAACGTTTCAGAATATTGTTTGCTGATTGTAACGTTACTTACGCAACCTCTATGCGCAATAAATCTTTTTGCCATTGTTTTAAAAGAGAAACATTAATGCAATTTGATATTATTGGAATTACTATTAGGAATTTCTCTGTTATAATATTTGAGAGTAGGTTTTTAGAGTCGATATTCTATTGATTTGTGCTTATTGGTGCTTAACTTCTGATGAAATGTAAAAATAAATTTCCCAAGTAACAACAATCATTGCAATTAAAATTTAGTAAAATAATATATTTTTTTCATCATTTTTCATACAGTAAGACGAAAATATGTAAGTTTCCACGGACTAAAACTAGACTAAAATTCTCAGACATATACCCCCGGTTTCACAGACAAGGCTTAAGCCTAGTCTTAGACTAAAATGTAAGTCTGAGCTGTTTCAACTGTTGAAACTTGCACTGACTGATCTTAAAACATGTCAGCGTCTTTGTTTTGTCTTAAGATGCACACCAGTAATGCCTTTTTCTAAGGCATGTTTATAAAAATTACTTAAATGTCCTAATTGAACTATGGCCTAATTCTGGCTTAGGCTAAGCCCTGTCTATGAAACCGGGCCTTAGTCGACTAAAACTTGACAAAAATTAAAACAGGACAAGTTGACTAAATATGATAAAAAACTAAAAGTCACATTTGACACAGGACTAAGACTAAATTAAAAATAGCTGACAAAATTAACACTAGACAACACTAACACTGAGCGGTTTCGATGCGTGTGTTTCTTCCATCAGGTCAATGATATTTGCTTAAGTATGTTTGTGTGTTTGAACTCTTGACCTTGTCAATCAGGTCTCTGTTGATGCAGTTTGGGAGCTGCTGGATGAAAGCGTCCACGATGAGTTTGAGATGAGAGCCGGTGCTGGCCTCCTCATCCTCCTGCTCTGTACACACACACACACACACACACACACACACACACGAAAACGAACGACACGACAATTCAAACACTGACTTATGATAATGAGTTTGCACATATAAATAATTACCGTCACTGGGGGGAAAAAAGCTAAATACAGATAAAGTCGGGCTGCTGGAAAGATCCTGCACTTGCCCTTCACTGAGGTTGTGATCAGTGTGTTTTACTCAGAAAGCATGTTTACCTTGCTCATCCAGTAACTTTTTGGCCAGTTCTTCACTTTCGGCCTCGTCGGCTGCGTCCAGATCTATCGGCTCATCAGTGATGTCCAGCGCTTCCAACTCTATCTCCAACTCCTCAGTGCTGTTTCCCTCTGGTCCCTCTGCACACAAACAACACAGACCACTGCATAATGGAAAAAACAACTATATAGACATATTGTCCCCTTGGAATTACAAGGTTCTATCTGCATTCCGAGTAGTTTTGAGATTTTGAGCTTCAAAGGCTTTGCATTCCATTCGACTGTGCAGATTTTTTTGTTTTTTAAATAAAAAGTCCCAAAATGTACACAACATTAAAAAATCTATCACATGATGCAAATAAGTTGTCACAGAATAAGAATATGTGAATAACTCAATTTTGACTGTGCAGATTTTTTTGTTTTTTAAATAAAAAGTCCCAAAATGTACACAACATTAAAAAATCTATCACATGATGCAAATAAGTTGTCACAGAATAAGAATATGTGAATAACTCAATTTTGACAAAAATGTCAGATAGAACCTTATAATTCCAAGGGGACGATATGTGAACTAATAAAAATGATGAAAACACCCAACAAAATAATTGCAAATTTTGCTAAAATGAAAATAAAAACAGAAAATATAAAAATAAAAACATTCTAAATATTAATAAAAATTAGGGATGCACCGATACCACTTTTTCCAGTACTCGCCCGATAACGATACTTTTATTTTTGGTACTTGCCGATATCGAGTACCGATACCGATATTTTTATTGCATTTGTAAATTTTTTAAATATTGGGTACAGAAACCAAAAGAGTATGTATAATGTTAGTTGGTTAACTTCATTTATCAAATAGATACAGTCAAACCAAAATTTATTCAGATACCTTCAACATTTCTCACATTATCACAGTTTATTCGTATCATTATTTGTATCAATTTTACTGGTAGTCCACTGTATGAAGAATTTTTGGGTTTAATTTAATAGCATTAGAGCTGCTTCATTGCAGCGGCTTAGTATACTGTAATCACGTGCTTTGCTGTAATAATGCAGCCATTTTAACGAGTACGAGTACAGGAGCTCAGTATTGGGCCCGATACCGATACTGCATCCCTAATAAAAATGAATAATATAAAACTAATAAAAATGTCAAAAACAAACAATGAAATTACTAAAACTTTAACTAAAATTAAAATGGAAAATGGAAACATAAAACCTCATTTAAAATATTAATGAAAACTAATCATATAAAACCAATAAACAACAAAATTACTAAAACTTTATCTAAATGTAAGGTGGAAAACGTATGAATAAAAACTGATTTAAAATATTAATAAAAACTAGAATACATATCCAAATTATATTAAAACAACACTGCTACTAAAATCGCTAAAACTGAAAAAAATAAATAAAAGCTAAATAGATAAAAAAAAGACTAAAACTAAAACTACTAAAGAGGAAAATACACAAAAAAAAGCTAATTCTAAATATGAAGAGTTCATTTGCAAAAACCGATAAACGCCACTTAAAAAAAAAAAAGAGCTGATTGCCGTGCATTATTCTCTGCATATAGCGTCCTGTATTTGTTATTATTACTTAATCAAAACAACCCAACTGCAGTTAGACGGATATTACTTGGAATGCGCAATAAAAAAAAAAACGTGATCGGAGTTATCGGTTTTTGCAAATGAACTCTTCAAATACTATAATAGTATATAAATTCTAGTAAAATAACACAGGATGCTTCTAAACCATTCAGTACCCTTGCTGGTCTGGCTGCTCTTCTCGTTGTCCTTGAAGAGGATAGCAGGAACAAACGCCTTCAGATCCACCATGTTCTCGTAGAAGTTACGCGCGTCCTCGTCCTCCCAGATGCCTCCGTCCAGATCGTACTCTCCCGGTTTCCCCGGCGTAAAGATATCGATGCCTGGACCGTGTTCTGCCACACAAATCAACAACAAATCACGCGCATGCCGAGACAAGATCTCACACAGATGAAGCCGTGCCAGCGGTCGCACCTTCCTGGATGGATTTGTCCAGAGGAAGTTCAGGCATGTTCTCGTCCAGCAGATCGGCCAGCGTTTGCGTGTTCGCCAGCAGCTTCTGATAGGAGGTGGCGAACTCCTCATACTGCTTATGTCGGTCCTCGCTGAGCTCTCCTTTAGAGTGCAGGATACGCCTGCAGAGAGACACAAAACATTATTATCACCATTCAAATGCAGAAGCACGTCTCAGAGCAACACACAGCACTGTTTCTGAATCTGCATTTTTGAACGGGTTGAGTGAATAATTCAATGACTTTCTGAAGGGATCAGCTGTACTGAAAGAAAGATTGAGTTAATGATTCAATGACTCTCATTAAAGGGATAGTTCACCCAAAACGGAAAATTCTGTCATTAATTACTCACCCTTTTCTACCCCTTTAAGATGCCACCACCTCCTGGTGGTTTTAGTGTCATATTTAAAGAAACATTACATTGCAACATTTAAAATGTTATTTTTAAAATAGTAATTTCATAACATTATTTATGCAACTGTAATTTAAGTAAATGCAGTTATACCAATTCTGAGCTTCATTTATTATTTAATTAATTTTATTATAGTTTTATTTTGAAATAAATTTATTTTCATATTTTCTGTTTTGATTTTCATTTTAGTTAAGTTTTAGTCTTTTGGTTGGGTTTTTCATATTTTCTGTTTTCATTTCCATTTAAAAGTTTTAGTCATTTTGTTGGGTGTTTTAATAATTTTTATGTTTTATTTTATTAGAGTTTTATCAATATTTTGAATTTGTTTTTATTTTTCATAATTTATTTTTTTAATTCTCATTTTAAAGTTTTCGTCATTTTTATTCGTTTCATTTTATTACAGGTTTTATTCATATTTTGAGGTAGTTTGTCTTTTTATTTTCATTTTACCTACAGTTTTAGTATTTTTGTTGGGTGTTTTTGTAGTTTTTTTTGTAGTTTTATTATAGTTTTTATTTATATTTGGAAATTTCATATTTTCTGTTTTCATTTCCATTTTAAAGTTTTAGTCATTTTGTTGGGTGTTTTCGTCATTTTTATTAGTTTAATTTTATTATAGTTTTTATTAATATTTTGAAGCAGTTTTTATTTTCTATTTTCATTTTAGTAAAAGTTTTACTAATTTTCTAGGGTGTTTTTGTCATTTTTATATAACATGTCTACATTTTTATTTTTTATTTCACTTTTAGTTATTTTCGTATATAAACAAAAAAAATTTGAAATGTTGCCTTGGCAACTAGCTGAAATAAGTTTTTTTTTTTTTATTACTTTTTTTATATTTGACAGTCAGATTGTGTCATATTATTCTAAATGAATTAATTGATTAAATGCATGAATTAGACATAAAAGATGATGCATACATGAGACTCACATTAAACACTATGAAAGATGCAGAACAAAAACCTCCAGAAATTTTGATCTCTAGAAAGTAATTTCAGTATATCGGAATTGAAATTTTGTGGCATCAATAATCGAATCATGAGATTCCAAACGATTCCCAATGGACCCCCTTTACAGACCGTTATGATGCATTTCCACAGTTATTAACATTATTAACATTGTGTAAATGGAAGATTTTTGCTAAATGTGAAAAGGGTCCATATACGAACTGACCTGTTCTGTCTCTCGATGTTCTGCAGCTCTCGGTGGTCTTTCTTCAGGTGTTTAGTGAGAGAGGTGAAATATTCTCTCAGCAGGTTCTGGAAAGGCTGCTGTTTCTCCGCATTAATGATCTGACTGGGAGGAAAGGACGAGCTGAACTTCTCCACCGCGTTCTTGACCTTACGCGGCACCAGCCCAGCGATATCGTCTCCGCAGTGCTTGCAGAAGCTGATGATGACGGAAACGTGAGTGTGTGTCTCTCGGTCGGCGCCGATGATGTTCTTCAGCTGCTCGTAGATGAGCGACAGCCCTTCTTTATCCGTGAACAGACCCACGATGGTGAGCTCGGCGATGAAGCGCAGGTCGGTCCGTAGTTTGCTCACGTTGGGCGTCTTCTCCTCCTTCCTGGCCTCGAAGTGTCTCTTCCAGGCGGCGAGGAGAAGCGGCGCGAAATCAGTGTAGCGCTGGTGGAAGAGGGAGCAGAGATGAACGGCGCAGCCCACGTCCGAGATCTTCAGCTTGGCCTCCACCATGGAGCTCACGGCTTCGCCGATGTACTTGCTGAGGTTGAGCGAGTCGAAGTCCTGCGACAGCGAGCCGCGCTGCTGCTCCGTGAGCGTGCGGAGCTTCTTGACGAACGCCGTGTTCTTCTTCAGGCTGGAGTCCAGGCGGCTGAAGAAGGCCTCCTCGGGACGCGTCTCCGGCGCGTGCTGGTTCTTCACGCGCAGCTCCTTTCTGCCGTGGTGTCGCTCCCACGCCTCCTGCTGGAGCTGTTCGGCCTCCTCTTTCTCCCTGATGAGACACGAAGAACAAACTGTGATTACAAAGCATCAATGTTATTTCAGCACCAATGATCACTAGTGGTCGACCGATATGGGTTTTTTGACAGCCGATGCCGATATCTTGGAAAGCAGGGTGGCCGATATAAAGCCGATATAATTTTATTTAATAACTCAGTATTCTGGGAAGTTTGTGTGCATTGGGAATCACATTTTTTCAAATAAAGCCAAGGTAACACTCATTTTACATACAGCACACAGTGAAAATGACATGAATATGACAGTGGGTAAATGCATAAAGCGCAGCATAATTTGAAATCACGAGATTAAAGTTTGTCGATCGCGCGTCTCAATGAAGCTGAACTCTCCTCCGGTCCGTATTCAATTCGCACGGACCGACCGTCACGCAGAGAACACGCGATCATGCACGATACACATGCACACTTCACAAGATCTGGATTCGTTTGCAAGGTTTTTGAAATTAGATGCTCATTAGTCATTCAAAGATTTGTTTAAATTATATAAATGCGTATTTGCTGAATGCTGAAGGCAAACGAGAAAGTATTAAAATGTTTGCCTTTCTATTACTAACAATATATAAGCAATCGTTATAATACTTTTTTGTATACATTTTAATTCCTTTGTTTAACAGTTCTATCTGAATATTAGATAGACTTCTGTCCGTGGACAGAACTGTTAACGACGACGGCGAACAAGAGGGAGAATGTGAGCACTGTGTGCTCAGGCGCTGCCATTCTCAGCACCGTCAAAATAAAAGTCCCGCCACGAACGCATCGGCCAGGCAGAAAAACTTATCGTCCGATGCCGATATTTGAAAAATGCCAAATATCGGC